GTTCGGAATGGACATAAATTCTGATCGGACATATGTCAATTCCGAACGGACATATGTCAATTCGGAATGGACATAAATTCTGTTTTGACATAAATTCCGATCTGACATACAACAATAGCACATTTTGTATGAAACAAGGTAATTATATTTGTAGAAATAATTTACTTACCACTTCACCCAAAAATAGCTGTCTTTTCCTATTGTTGCATCCAGTAGTAGTAGAGGGACAATATTATGAAACATGTGCTCAACTTCAGGTAAATTATTCTTCCTGGTCATTGTTATGGAATCAAGGCTAGAGAAGGTACACAGCCATTAGATATTATTTATCCATAATGTAACAAATTATACATCTACACTTACATGTAACTGAAAAGCTTTCAGAAGGTTTTTCCTGCTTCTGTCATTGCTGGTTTCGAACAAAAAATTACTGATTACCTTCAAGAGTTTGTCAATGAATTTTCAATTAGTTTTGGAACACAAAAACACATCTTGGGAAGCACACTCAACATTCGAGAAAAAAATCAGATATTACTTTGGCATTGATTGATGTGATTATTGCTTCAGTCTCTTGAATCTTGATGGGAGATTAAAAATTAGTGAGGATTCAATAAACATAATATATTTTCAAGAATAGAACTGCACCTCTTATAGCTACCCTCTTTTATATTATTGTCCATGATATCAGTTGGGATGAGCTGATAGACTGCCCAGGCAATTGAGGAGAAGGAGAGGATGGTGACTCATTTGACTTCAACTTTGTCTTTTGGATTATGACAATATGAGAAAAAACTCAAAGCTAGATAATTAATATAATTATTTACCTTTTTATGCCTTACTGGAATAAATTCATCCTCTGATTCCTCGCTAAAAATACATGTAAAGAATTTAATGTCAAACTTGTAAATTATAAAAAGTAATACATAAAGTAAACCTACAAAGGAATATATTCAGATGAGGAATCCAACCATATACATGAGGAATCTAACTTTGTAGTCTGCTTGCCTGATTTCAAGCCAACTACTGGCTGTATCCCACTGGGAACAAAGATAAAGATTTTGCTCGTGTATTTCATTTGTTGTCTTGATTGCATTCACAACTCCATCAGTTGTTTTTTTTTTTTTTTTTTGTTTTTTTTTTTTGCAACCCACACCAATGCATATTCCACTTACCCATACAATCTTGATCTGATTCTTCAGCTTCCTTTGATGTACCCTGCCTTGTTGTGGTGAAACTCCTAGTCTAATGCGCTTACCTTCAAAGTATGAAGTAGTTCTTGGGCTCAGTTTACCTCTTGATAGCTAAATTTGTTCTCTAAGCTATTTACAATAGTCTTCAGATTGTCATTCAGCCAGGAGTTTGTAGTTTTCGAAATTTGTAGTAACCGCGAATGGACTAACTCTCAGGCGGTGCTTTAAAGTATGCGATATTTGTAGCCATTGGGTTCTTACTTTCTAGTATTTTAGGAGCGACAAAGTGATGCAGATAGCAAACCGATCACGACAAAATTTAAAGAGCAGATTCGCGTTATGCATCGCCACATCATGTGATATCAGGTCACAAAGTCACGCGTCGGTTGTCAGCTTTAACGTTTTGTATTTGAAACCCTTTGTCTGTTAATTCAGGCTGGGCTTTATTATAATATCAATTTTGAAACTTGGATACGATGTTTGAACTCAAGTCGGGTGAGTTGATCCTTATCGAGTTACCTTAAACGCTTTAACTGACTAGCGTGCTATTTGTGTTTTTATTTACGAACAGAATAAGATGTTAGAACGATGGAAATATTTCAGAAGAATACTTTGAATATTATTACAAAGGCATCTATCAATGTCATAACAAAAGGGATAGGACGAGTGAAGTGTGGTTTCAGAACAACTATAAATTAGATAGTCAAGTAGTGATATTCTGGCAACGAAAATCTTTCATATACAAAGTCATAGTGACAGAATCAATCAATCATAATCTTGTTTTATTTCTGATTTTGTTTCAACAATAAATACCATCGATAACATCACTCCTAACGAAAAGCGAAGGCGCCTGTTTAACGTGAATGAACCGATTGAACTTTCTATCGAAGAATTTGAAAAAAATTGGTGGCCATTGGTAACAA